AAAAAAGCAAACCAGAGCAAAGCACACCTTTATTCCTCCACAGGAGGCACAGCAGTATCACATGCTAAGAAAGAGATACTGTGGGAAGTAAAATGTGACTTCAGTTTTCCCTTAGAACTGTGGGAAGGGGAGAAAAGAAAAAGGCCCTGGATTGTCTGATAATTGTGCAGAAAGCAGCATCGCACCCACATTTTCAGAAAGCCACAAGAGTGTGTGGGTTCTCTGTTTTTGGAACAAGAGCACAGTGAAAGAAAGCTTGTTTACTTTAGACACTATACAAAGACTTTTTTTTTAAATAAATGCTTGAAAGGATGCCTCCTCTCTGAGGAGTTAGCAGAAAATAAAAGGCAGATTTATATGTCTAATCTATGCAAATATCTTCTCTACAGGGCATCACAAAGACTGCTTTATATCAGACAGTATGCAGATCCCAGGTGCTTTAAATATGCCAAAAGCACACACAGCATCTCCATCTGCGATGGCTGCTCACTGAGAACAGCTGGATGACTAAAAAGAGGTTGTCTAAGTAGCCTTCCATGAAAAATGCTTTTTGCTAATGTGCCAATCCCCATACTCCCACCCAAATTACTCCTGCCATAACTGCCATTGAGTCTGAAGAGGGTTTTTTGTTGTTGTTTGTTTTGGTTTTTTTATTCTGTTTATCACAAATTCTTCTAGAAATTTTCAAATTGTAGAAATAATAACATGGTGAAAACTCCTACTGACAATTTAAGGAATTATCATGGAGTTTTAGTTAATCTGTAAAAATGGAAAACATCTGTGGGACTGGGGACCAGTAGAATGCCATGACCAGTGGGCAGGGAGATGCTGGAATCACTGAGATGTTGGAAGAGACAGGATTAAGAACAGGGCATATAAACAGATGGGAGCCTCAATTCAAGAGAAAAGAAACAGAGTAGAAAGGGTAGAGAAAAAGAGGTCTAGAAGGTAGGAAAGAGCTTTCCTAGGAGAAGGCTTAATGCCAAGAGTACAATGCACTGAAAGCAAGGCATAGCAATATTTATGTCATGGCCACTACCAGAAACAAAAAACAGGTACTCTACAACTGGTGTCTGCTTTCTGTATGTTTCCCTGGGACATCCTTGGGAAGCATCCATCACGGGTCAGGAAACATGACAGCCCCGAGTAGCCCCAGCATTTGCATTCAAAACCACAAATTGAACAAGGCTGACAATGTCCTGCAGGTGCTTCTTACCCTGTCCCAGTGATTAACTTCATCCAAAGAGAAAAAACCTCTACACCACTAACATTTTCATCTTCAAGCATCAGTCTTGTATCAAAGACAGAAAGAACTGCAAGCCAGAGTCAGATGTGACCTACTAAAACAATTAATGTGCTCCCCAGAGTACTCTTCACTTCATCTTTTCTTGCAGGTCTCAGAGGTTGGCTTCTAAGAGCTTAAAAGCTAAATAAACTGCTCTGGCAGTCTTGTCTTTTCATTTTCTTTACCACAGTCTCTCATATTATCAGAAACACCTCTTACAAATTAACTACAGGCATCCATCCCACATGAAGACATTGCAGTACTTGTGTTTATATGGCAGGTGCCTGCAGCTCTACAGGTCCTAAATAACCAGTTACATGGCCAGCCCAGGTAGCCCACTCACCCACTCAGCATCAATCCACAATTTGAAATTATGGGGTCATTTGGGCACAAACTGAAACACATGGCATGCCTTCTAACCATAAACCCCCTTCTTTATTGCAAGGGTGACTGAAATGGTTTCCCAGAGTAAGTGTGGAATCTCTCCTTCCATGAATATATTCCATGATCCTAGAGCAATCTCATCTAGTTGACCTTGCTCTGAGCAGACAATCTCCTATCTCCAGACAGAGATACCTTCCAACCTCAACCATTCTGTAACTGCTGCTTGCATTTGACTTCAGTAAATCACCTGCCCTTCCCACACTGTGACTCCCTGTGAGGGACAGCATTGACTTCTCACAACACTGCTGTTCCACTCCTCTCCCAGCATGGCACATGAGGACAGGTTTCCATCAAGTCTGTCCAGCACTGGGACACAGTTCTTGGAGCAGTGTTACTCACCCTTACTTCTGCCTCCACACTTGGCTTTTCAATACCAGAGAAACCATGAAGAGCTCCTGACCACTACCAACACCTGCAAGCAGTTAAAATCCACAGGCCTGGAGGCATAATCAGCATTTTCTACTTCTGGCAGTAATGATAAGATGTAAAGGAGTTATAATTTTATAAATACTGTAGTATTGCTAGCAGGATTCTTCCTGTTCATCCCAACCATCAAACAACAGCCAAACACAAAATGGTTCACATATTGCTTTGAATTGTTCACATATTTTTGAAAGAAAGATCTTTCCGATGATCTTTCAAATAAAATTATTAAGGAACGCTACCTCAGAGCCAGTGACCAACACCCTAAGTAATGCTCCTCTCAACCAACAGAGCCTAAAAGACTTGCATCATTTTCCCTTTTTGCAATGACAGTATGTGAGACACAGGAGGTTGCAGCCACTGGAAACAGGAAGGAATATTCAATTTGGCGACAAATTTTTCAAAACCAGCTATCAAGTCTATAATCCTACAGATCAGAGGCAGAGTAAACCAGCTCAGGAAACCAACTCCCTAGTGTTTGAATATTTGTGCATTATGTCAGTGTTTGCTGAAGCATTCTCAGAAGACTTCATCATCTTCAGAGAATATTAATCAACCTTGGAAACCCTGGAGTCTACAATTAACTAAAAGCTTGCTGTTGAGAGATGGGTTTCACCTTCAGCTCCAAACACAGCCAGGCAATCTCAGGGCTGGAGTTGTTTCCACTTGGAGAAGGTTACAAAGGTGACAGCCACTGCTGGCTGCATTGTCACCACCTCTACACCTTTGGCCTTTGGTGGCGGTTGTGTTTTGGGGTTGGGTTTGTTTGAGGTGGTTCTGCAGCCTCCCAGAAGGGGATGAAGTGTCTCATCACAAGTTCTGCATTTCAGACAGATTTGTCATTTGTACCTAAATATAAATCAAATACACAGGCACTGAGTGGGCGAGTCCAGTGCCTACCTCAACATCACATGTAATCACATCATGATCAAGGCTAATCCTAGAAGCAGACACCAACAAAATAAAAGCAAATGTTGAATTAATTTACCAAGAGAAAAAAAAAAAAAAACCCTAAAAGCCCACATCCATCTGTGCATCTAATCAGGTTTTAAACTAAGCCTTTCTCTGCCAGGAAGAATCCTCCATGTCCCCACCATTGCCTCAAACATGAATCTACCTGTTGCTGAAGGTTTGCTGCCATCACACCATCTACAGTGCAGCAATTCCACTCCATGAAACAAACAAACAAATCTTAACAGGCTATTCTATATCTGAAATCCTCTAGTAAACTGCTACACACTTTTAAAGAAACATAAAAGGCACTTATAAGACTCTACAGCTTATGCTATCAATCACTTCAGAAAGAAAAACAATTCAGCAGCAGCCACTCCAATTGAGAGTGCTGTGAAGTTCAATTGTCACTGAAATGCTTTGTTATTACCAGCCTGGGCAGAATGAGCAAATATACCTCTGCAGGTGAGCTATGAATGAGCAATCAGCACTGCAGGCTGCAGCTTGAAGAGATAATAGCATCCAAGCAGCCACAATGCTTCCTTGCACACAACCAGGCCAGGATTGGGCTGACAAATTGAGCAACACAACATTTCAGACATTCCGTCTGCACGTTAAAATAATTCTGAAGGAAAAGGTACTGAGGCTTCCCTCTCCCAGTGCCTACAAAGAAGGAACACACAGATACAGACAAGCATCAGTGTTTGGTCTGTTCTCAGAGAAATTGAAGTTTTATGATGTTTTTATCCCACTCTTTGGCAAGAATTCAGCACAAACAGTTGTCAAAGGATGGCTTGACAGCTGCCATTTCAAGATACAACTTTTTCACATCCTAACAATACCAACTTCCCAGTTCAGTGTCAAATAAAGATCCTTTAAAATATGCAATCTGCAATATAAAAAATTGCTTCATGTCTTGGATGCCTTCTAGAGTTAAGGCCATTCTTTCTTCACTATTTATATATCTTTTCCTAGCTATTATGACCATGTGGTGAATTCCAGGGTTTCAGCAACAGCAGGGTTTTTTCAGTGGCAAGGCCTCTGCCACCCTGAAGCCTTCATCCACTTATTCCAGGCTTTACCTTTAGTTGTGCTGATACAACTTTGCTCAGACTAGATAAATGAAATAATTTTGGTTAAAAAGAAAACAATTCCACCCCTTTTTAGGTGAGGTGGGCTTTTTTCTCCGCACTCTCTTTTTTGTATTATTAAATTTCAATACAGCACAGATGTGCAAAAACCACCCAGTGATGTGGTTTACAAAAATAGCCCCTCAAAACAGTTGTATTGTTACAACTGCAGCACAGAGCTCTGAATAAAAGAGTAATTCCCACTGAAGTTGTTTGCAAAGGTACGCCCTGATCATAATTAAAGGACTAATGCCCTCTTAACAGTTTTAATCTTTTTGTGAAGCATAAGGGAAAATCAAGAGTGGGATGAGCAAAACCTGGAAAAAAAAAAGCCAAAGTTCACTTTCACCAAAGCACACGTAGGCTTAAGAATAATAAACTAAAAGTCTATATAGAGTTCCTTTGTGGCTTCCTTTTCACCAGTAGAAAGTTACAGAAGAAAATCCATGGTCACCACGGTCCTTTTTAAAATTTATGTCAGATTTTGAGTCATATAACTATAACTCCCATTTTTTCCCCTGCAGTTGGTCATGCACAATCATCCAGTGAGACAGCTTTTTTTTTCTTCTTCCCAAGCAGACATAATCAAATGGTGACTTCTCCAAATTTTTCCCATTTGGGCAATCATCAGGAAAGGAAATAACTAGATGATACCTGAGCAAATACTGAATGCCAGAAACAGAGCAACTGTTTCTCTCAGATGCTCTGTCACAGTCCCATTCTCTCCCAGCTCTATCCCAATACTGTGAACAGAGGGAAGCACATACCTTGTCACCTCCTGCTGCAGTCGGGAAACACTGGGCACATAGAACATCACCCCAAAGAAAAGCAAAGGCTCATTGGCAAATTTGTCCAGCTGCTTCTTCAGAGGCTTTTCCAGTTCAACCCAGCGGTCTTGCTGGTTCTTGCTGAGAAACCAAAGGCCGAAGTAGTGAGTCTAGATAGAGAAACACATGAGTGTCAGTTTACCTTTGCCAGCTAGATCACTCACACAATGCCACAAATGCAAATAAGAACAGATGGCATTGTGTACATTTGTCCATAAGCAAAGTCAAAGTAATTTCTTTTTTACTGCCCATTTTTGTGGGACATTTTGGAGACAATGACAAATTAATATTGCAATATACTTCACAGTGCACTATCTGCCTTCTACCATCTCTCCCAAATGCATATTGAAGAGCTCTACAAGACATTGTGGCATAGGTGACATAAATGATTTACAGAAAGTGCCTGAGTGTTTTCTTAAGGGACACCTGTGCTTTGTGAACAGACAGCAAACACTAAGCCTGAATTAAAGTGCAAAGGCTTCATGAGGCTTTGAATCAGGCCCACTGCACACAAAGGACAAGGACTCCTCCAACTAGGAAAAAAAAAAGAATGCAAACCCACATGCATATATCAAAATATATCTAGAACCATTTACCCAACACAGAGCCATTTACCCAACACAGAATTGTTCACTCTTCTCTTTTTTTAACACACTCACAAGGTTTTATGATGGACAAGTATACAGTTAGAACATGCACATCACACAAGTTGTTTGCTCTAGGCTCTACAGAAATACCAGGCTGGAAACCTCAGCTGTTTCCTGCCCAGTGCAAATCTCAATGGCTGTAGCAGCTACTGTATGAGGCACACGGGACTGCTGCTGGTGAAGAGGAATTAACACAGACAGCACTCAGAACTAGAGCTACAAAGTGGCAATAAAGCTGCTGAAGGAATAGCCAATCCATCATGAAGGATTTTATTGAAAAGCACTTAAACAGCAAGTACTATGGCTGCAGATCTGAAGAAAAAGTGAAAAACATTGTAGCAGACAAATTGCAGATGTTAAACTTTGCAAAATCCACCATGAACAGACTGTTTCATGTTGGTATGGATGTTTCTATAAAAACCATTGCACACACCATGACTTAGCACACAACACAAGGACAAGTAATACAATACCAAAAATTTTAAATGTTTACAAATGGCAACAAACCAGTAGGGAAGCACTGCTTCAACTACCTTATAGCTGAAGGCATGCAAGAGACAAACATGCAAGACTCTGAATGGGAGCACAGGTGTACTTACTTTAGGGTCTCATTACATACATATTTTCAACTTTGGACAACATCCAGACTAGCATTTAACTAAGGTGATAGCTAATTCAACTTGATTCCTCATTTAAGCCTGAAGCAGCTTGAGCACTGCTCAGTCTGGTACAGTGAAGCAAACTTGTTCTTTTGTAGTATTTCCTCCTAGAAATTAAAGGTATCTTCAATAAATCAGTCAATCAATTAATCTATCTAGGGCACAAATAAATCAAGAAGTCAGCATCTCCCACAGGATAAACTTCAAACAAAACTAACCTCACAAATGTTCCCTGATATATTTCTACTATCCCTTTGTAGTCACCAGTGGATAAAAAGTTCTTTCTGATGAGTTCAGCATGGTAGTAATTAGATTAAAAGGAAGGTGGGAGGGACAGTGGAGGCAGCAAAGAAAAGGAATTAATGTGAAGGCAGAAAAAAGCAGTGATTTTACCACCTCTAAAGGGAAACCCTTTAACGCACTTGAAAATCACTGCAGGACAGCTCATCCTTAGCAAGAAACAGTGCAGAGATGCAAAAACAGAGCTTCCATATTACTTGAAAAAGTAAACATTCACAACACCCAGAACCCCAAATTTGAAGTGTGAAGTACTTGTAAAACATCTACCAAAGAAGAAGATTTGGACTCTGAAGCCTAGAAGAGTTATTCAAGGAATTCAGGGATTGCAATTAAACAGCTTGAATGAGCACAGTCCCTCCCCTTTGAGTGGGGGCTGGGAGACAGCACAAGTTTAGATTTGCTACAGTAGAAAGGCTCTTCAAGTACCAAATCTAGAAGCAATCCCAAGGAACAAGAAGTAAATGAAACACGGTGCTGTTGAAGCTTCTAGATTACAGCAGGTACTGTGGAGCAAACAGGGCAGCATGCATTTTGCACAACTAGAAGACAACTGTTTTCCTGGAAAGCAGCCTGGAGAGGATCAAGCTACTGCAGCTGAAGCACAGGAACTGATAGCAGAGCAGAGCTCATGTCTCAAATTCATGCACTTTGGAGAGCCAATACACACAGTTATTTGAAAATCAGGTCCCTGTTGCCAGCAACTTCACTTGTGAAAATGTCATGTGTTTTTTAAGAACCTGCAGTGGAGGACTTCTGCAGCCACTACTGTGCACTCCTGAAGAGACCCTCCCCCCTACGAGTATCAGTGATCCCCAAAAATGAACAGAACAATGTGGGACTGGAAATGGCTGGACCACCAAGTTCAGCATGCTACAAGAAGGCATTTGGCTCTCCAGAAGGTGAGTCATGCCATGCTGTCCAGTCCACAAAGCACCCCAAAAATTAGTTGAGGTTATAAAAAAATGGGATCTTCTATCTATAAGCAGCTGATTAAAAACTAGGTTGATTCCAAAAGCTGGTCTGTTTGTCCATCTGCACTTGGATTTCCATGGAATCAATATCTATACCTACAGATGTCAGGTTCTGAAGTAACACATATTGCCCTTGACGTTTTAAAATTTGTCTCACCTACCACACATGACTTCATATGTGGTACAAGGAAATTGGTTCACCCTCCTCCAGGAGCTGCAGTCCTCTGCTAAAGCAGCAAACAAGAACCAGAGCACTTGGGTGCCAGAATGAAAAGGTGATTCTCAAAATACAGTGAGTCACAACACCAGACATACAAAAACTGCACTGGGAAGTCTTAAAATAGGTGACATTAATAAATAAATAAATAGCTGCGAGTTCAGACGGCAACTTAATTTGTTTTGGACTTGGCCTTAGCTATCCTCCTAAGTCCAGAACTACTCCTGCCTTTATGTTGGGCCAAACAAGTAGAATGGTCATCCTCAGGAGGTGACAAAAAATCTCTAAACCAGCAAATGTCATTCTAAAAGATTCATTGAGCCCAGCTCAGTGTTTGTTAAAGCATCTGGTTAGTCGGCCAACTAAATATTTATCCTTGAGAAAGAGATGGAGTTCCAGCTTCTCCAGGCAAAAAACATTAAGGCTGCTACTCCAGGGCACTTGAACAGAGGGGAAGGTGCCATTTACAGCAGCCATTTATTCATAGAAGGTCTTTTGTCCAAGCACTGCCTGAACCCCATCTCAGCTCTGCTGGCAAGATGAGTCAAACCAAGCCAGGTTTGGAGGCAACCTGGCTGCAAAACCCCAGGTTTCAGTTGTGCCCTAAAAGAAAGGAGCACCTTCTGGGCCAATAAAGTAAAGGTCAGAATAGCAGCAAAAGGCCAGCTCCGCACAGTGGACAGCACTTGCCTGTGGTGCTCAGCTCACCAACCTCCTGCTTTGACTGGGGGCTTATAGGATGACAGTGATGGACATACCATTGTGAAATTTGGTTCACAAGAATAATTTTGGTTGGAAAGAACCTTCTTGCCCTCTCCCCTACCTACAATACATCAGAGCATACCACCTTTAAACATTTTAACATTTTAGAAAGTGAATTAAAAAGAACAAAAAGGATAAGGAAACATGAAGACTTCCAACAGATTTGTACAGATTACTCTGCTACTTCAAGTAGGTTCACTTAGTCTGGAAGTGGAATGGAAAAATGCCATTATATTGGGGAAAAATCCTTTCCATAAACTGTGCACATACATACAAGATTATAAAATGACATTCTGGACCTTGTCTTTCCTCTCCCTTCCTCCCCTCTTCTTGTCTTTACCTTTTACATAATGCTGGAATAAGAGCTCATTTTATTGGAACTGGTAACTGTTCAAGTAGAAGACCTGATGCTTTGTCAAGAGCTTTGCTGAAAAGGATAAAACCAGATTTTACAGTAGTTACATGGCTCCACTTTCTGCTGACCTATTCCTGAACCCTGAGTCAGTCAGGCAGGGAGTTGCATTCCCCAGAGATCAAATAGAAATATGCATAATCCACCAGATACTTCTTTTCAGTCATGTGTGGTATGATCGACAGTCCCTCACAACAAGGCATAATCTCAAAGAGTTTTGCTTTTCAACAGGAAGGGTTTGGACAGTTTTTTGTTCATTTCTAAGAAACTGGATTGAGTGAGACATGGATGCATTTCTAACTTGAAGGTAAAAGCTGTGGTACACCTAGGATTTATGTGAACATAAAACCAAACTGAGGTATTACCTGAGACTGCAAGGAGGAGACAAACAGGATTTTAGCACTGTTTTGCTAGCACGGGACTTAATGAAGGTTGGCTTATCCTTACTTGTACATCACAGCTTGCAAATCAGGATTTCCAAGAAAAGGCATATGCCAGCTGCAGGTTTTGCTGCATTCAGGGAATTTTAAAACTCTCTCTGTGATATGAATTCTTGCAAGGATTTTTGCCTCAGGTATACTTAACAGGCTTCTCTACTCAGTTACCCAGTTGCACAAATCTTGTAGAAATTTGAGCTTTGTGAAAATATTTTTGACCCTTCTGTAGAATTTGGGTGGACAGTGAGTTCAAAAACTATGGTAAACCTAGAGAGGAAAGGGGACAGTCATCAAATTACCTCATCATCCTTACAAACAGTGGCAAGAAGACTACAGGGCAGAATAAGAACTGAATTTGGGGTCTGAAAGAAAGAACAGCACCAGGCACCTCCAAGCTTGCCAGCTCCAATTATTCCTCATCCAAGGAGCAAAAGAAGATACAGGGAGACCCTCTCAGAGTTGAAAGAGGTAGGTAATTCTCCCCTTAAAAAAAAAAACCCAAAACACCCACTTCTGTCAAAAAATGCTGCACTGTTGAAATCTGAACTTTACAAAACCAGTTCAACGTTGCCAAAACCTTGTTTAGAAAAAAAAGCAGGGAGGGTGATGAAAGAAGGGGAATGCGTTCCAACAACATCAAAGCATTCTCTTCTATGTTGTTAAAATATTTTTTTATCTTGAAACACAAACTTTTTGTGCTGACATATTTCTTTTTGCATGACAGAAATAATTTTGAAAATTAAAAAAACCAAAGCAATAGAAAACCCCCATAAAACTGAACACGGACCTAAACAGCTTCCTTTGATACTCTATTGTCTAATTTCATTTCTCTGGAAGATTTTGGAACTTCAGGCTTTGTTCCAAAGTGGAACAAAACACGTTCTGAGATCACAAAATGCTTTGTGGAAAAGAACACTGACCTGCTGACAGAGCTATTGTTTGCAAATGCAGGTGGACCTCCAGAGAGAATCAGGAGGCCCCAAACTTCTGCTGCACCAACTAGATAAGCTCACAAGGAACATGAGGAGAATCACTTCATTCATTTCAATGCTTTCTGCATTGGAAGGAAAGAGAGAACTTTGGTTCTTCCCTAAGGACACCCTAGGGCATCACCAACAGAAAGAAAAAAAAATGGAAACATGATGCATTGATAAATCTTCATCTCTGTATGTAAAGGGGGGAGGGGGAGATGATTCTACTAAAATTCATATTTAAAACCAAACAAACAAACCACCCAAGTATGAAAAACACTATGCAATATTCCCTCTGCCCTGTTCCTGTCTGCATATTTTCCAGCCTATTCTGGACACACACACAGAGTTCTCCCATTCTTCTCCCATTCTTTATCATTATTAAAAACAACAACAACAAAAAAAATCCAACCAAACAAACAAATTTTTGTTTAGTTTTCAGATATTGTAGTTATTTGTACGCTACCTTCCCACTGCCCCCACTACCATGGGCAAACTGAATAAAACACTGCAAGATTTTTAATTTCTCCAGCTGTGCTTACAGAAAGTACCAGCCAGGACAGACAGATGATAACACAGCAATTCCAGGCAATGGTTTTCCACTTATAATTTGCAGAAGTCTAGATGTAGGATACACACAGGGAGCCCACAGAAGGTAAGAAAAGTCAGTCAGTTCACTTGTGCCATGCACATTGGAGAGGTATTTCTATAAAGGATTCAACACTTAAATACTAAACACTTCAACACAGCAAGAAGTAGAAAATTAAGGATTTCAGTCTTGAATAAAGACTGGTTTCTTCAACATTTCCAGAACCATTGGGAATGTAAAAGAAGTCTTTTAAGATTTTAGATGTGAAATATTAAACAAAACCATAAGGAAGAAAAACCCCACTAGTAAAACACAACTATTAGTGTTACTGTTGCTCTCTTCAGTTTTATAGTAACAAGAGTATTTACATAAAGGCAGATGTTTAAAAGCCGGCAGTCTCCTTTACATTTGCATAATTCAGCCATCAGCGCAGTGAAACCAGGGCTACATTCAGAAAAAAGTTACTGTAACTTGTCCTTTGGCATTCCAGCTCAAAAAGAAACACTCGGCTTTCTAAGAAAAGAAACTTGGTGTTACAAAGAACTCTCTAGGCTAGGACGGATGAGCAACAGCCCAAAGCCCCGAGCGCCGTTTCATGCAATCAGAGTATGTTTGTCCAAGCTCCAGCTGCTGATCATATCTGGCCAGCCCTGAGAACAACATGACTCAAACGCACAGACTGCCTGAGCTAAAAACGTGTCCAATTATCCAGTGACAGATGGTCCTTCCCCAGCTGCCCTTACCTCGCGTAATTCCAGCCTCTGAGCGACAGCTTCCAGGCACTCCTGCCCCGTGCTCTCCACGGACAGGGTGCACTCGATCACGTTGCTGTCCAGCAGACGGATCCTGGTCACGAAGCAGTTCTTGCTCAGCACGTTGTAGCGCCGGGTCCGCCGCAGTTTCAGCCCGAAAGGCATGGCTGAAGGCCGGCGGGATCGCCCCGTCCCCGGGCTCTTCCCAGAGCTATCAGCACGCCTGTCCACTCGCCTCGAAGGCTTCTTCAGCTGGCACTACTCTCCTCCAGAAACGGAGGGAGCTGTCCATTCCTGGGGCAAGCTCCAAGGGATTCCTGCAAAACACACACAGGTAAGGAGACCGAAGTGTGAAACAAGACGTTCCTGAAGTTCAGGGAGAAAGAAAAAAAGTTTAAGAGTCACATTTTAAAACCATGAAATAAACACCTCCACGCACAGGATTGCCAGGCACTTACTACACATCCCACATGAATACCTTATACAAGAAACCTTCCAAAATACTGTTTTGGCGCTGAATTTAAAGCACGGATTTAATTGCAAAGCCGTTCTTTGAGAGGCTCAGTACAAACAGCAACTCTACAGGGCACTCATCCAGAGGTGCTAACTCTCCCACCATTACCCCCACCACAGGGGTCTATAACATAATCTTCGAGTTTTCATGCCCTCGGGCCAGCTTTGAAAACTAGTTTAAAAAGCGAAGGAATAGAGGCTTTGAAAAGAGGTGCGATCTTGAAAGAAGAAAGGCTGGCTGCGGGTCCGCAGGAAATGCAGGCACTCAGCACCTCCGAAAAAATCAAACCTAAAATATGCATGTGAAAAGCAAGAAGCATCCGAGCCATTTCAGAGGAGCCTCCTCCGAGGCAATCCCTCGCATTTTGCCGGCTTCCAGCTCCAAACCCTCCTAGGTGGAATGAGTAATGGCAGGAACGCGGTTGCCAGAGACCGGGGCAACACCGAGTGGGAGGAAGAGAACACATATTCTAGATATTGTTTCTAGCTAGTACTCCTAAAATTTATCAGGGACACATGCAACTGCTGAGCCAAAACACAAAGTAGACAGAAGAACTAGAGATACAGAAGTAATGACATTTAAGATGTATGATCCTCACTTGCAAGAACCACTTCTTTTAAAGTGAAACAAACCAAAAAAGTTCAGTTAAAACCAGGTTCAAGCTGAACTAAAACAAAGCATTTGCACTGACATAACCAGCTCTAAAACGCCACTTTCCACGTGTCGAGAAGAATGAAGCAAATAGCAAATTACTTGCTACCAGGTCTTCCTGGTTTTGTTTGAATATTCTGGAGCAAAAAGTAGAGGAACAGTAATGGTGACATTTAAGCGTCCATTTCTCTTAACCAATAGTACTGCAAATGAAACACTAGATCCCATTTCCTCATTTCTTAAGAGAAGCAAGGGAAGGCAGTGCCAGCAGAGTATGCATCATTTGAATGCATCAGCTGAGTGTGACATTTCAAACAAATAGTACATTGCCCACACGTATCCCTTGGCACAGAACTCCATGAATCAGTTATTTTCAGTTTTTACTGAATTTAGTTGCTATAGAGATAATTAAAAGCTGCCCAATGGACTACAGTGGTTATCATTGCACTAGAAAAATAACTATCATTTTTACATGACGTGTATTTTCCAAAGCCAGTATAACTTGACATTTATTAGGGAGTTAGAGCAACACAAACACAACAGGAAAAAAAAAATAAATACACAAACAGAAAACCACTGGTTAGGTGTGTGACTACCCTGGTAGTCTACCAGCACCACCAGACAAAAGCCTAGAGACTGAGAGGGAGCACTGCTATTTGACTGAAGTGCAAACAAACCTATCAAATTAGCTGCTGTGGTTTAATCTCCCATTTTTAGCTTTCATGGGTACAGACATAATATATTATTTTCAGGTAATTGCATGAGAGAGCTGTTATACCTTGCATTGCTCTAACATCAGAAGCCATCAAAGATATATAAATACATCCTCACAACAATCTGACGAGGCAGGGACATGTTACCCAAGACTTAAACAAAAAGGAGTTGAAACAAACATTCACCAGCTTGCCCAACACTGCTCAGAACAATGGCTGCAGACCTCATCATCACCACACAGGACAGGCTACTGCTTTAACCCCTGGCCAACTACTCACCAACTACCCTGCTGACCAACCTATCTGAAACTACTGCCCGAATCTGAAAAGTGGGAAGAATGAAAGGAAATTACAGAGAGGAAAGGGTGGGGAGGACTACATCTTATCAAGGACAGCATTTTTGTTCAGTCTCTGGCTTCACAGATTATTTTAAATTGGACACAAGGAGAGTTTTAGCTAGCTAATTCAATTTCAAAAAAGACTTTTCTCTTTCATTACCGTTAGTTGCACACATTTCCTTGCAGTGCATGAGCCATTCCCTGTATAGTAATTGTACAGTTAGCAGTAGCCTAAGGATGAAATCAATGTTAATTAAAAAACCCCAAGTGCCTGGCCTTGCCGTCCAGGTACACAGCTACAGCTGGACAAGCCATCCCAGAAGAGATGTGTGCAAACACCCTATTCTGGAACAAACCCATCAGCTGCTGTATTCCAGAAACATCAACATGGATTGGACAAAGTTGTATCATACACTCAGGAAAACAAGGCCAGTATTTCCCCTGCTTTTCAAAAGCAGTAAAGGAACAGGAGTTTTCCCTCAATTCTGCTGAGGGCAATCAGCTGGCACCATTTTCTCAAGGTGCAGATGTACAAATGGTTTAATGGATGCACTCAGTGTAATACAGACTGGGTTACTTTTCCATTTAACTTAAATATATATATGAATGCCCAATGACATCTCACTCACGTAAAAGGTCACACTTAAACTAGTTTCCAGTTAAAGATTTAAATGGGGTGGCAAGGCTGGAAATGCTTCAAAACAACTCAGATTGTCCCAGCTTGTAAAAGCTGTTAATTCTCAAATCAATGCAGGTGTCTGAGTTTTCTGTTTACACATATTCTGGATGTCTGACCAATTTCTCACTGGGTTTTCTGTTAAGGTTACTAAGTGTGATCTCAAAGACGAGTCATTTACAGGCACCTAAAGGTAAACTAGGTTCTTCAGTGTTTGCATCATCTTAAAAGCATCAGAAGCATTCATTTTTATTCATGGTTGTTCTGTAGATAACTGAAAAAAAATGCCATTGAGAGACAGGAATGTTTTGGTCTTCCAAATGAAGGATTATTCCATTACTGGATCTCCTTTCCCCATTTAAAGGTTGCCTGGGAGAAGCAATGTCCCTAATAAAGTCATCCCAACTGTGCAGGCATTCACAACACTCCCCTCCTCAAACTCACTCTTCCACTTAAAACAAAACCAAACCACTGAAACTAATGCAAGCCTATAAACAGCTAATCAGATAACCATGAACTTGTTCTGATGTTAGCAAAGGATTTTTATTAAGAGTATTTCAGGTGTGAAAGGGAGACACAACATCTTTTAAACTGACATTTTCTATTAAGAACTTATTTTTCTGAAGAGAAATTATACTGAGCTCCTTTGGGTACTTTTTTCTTTTTTGTGTATCAATTGCTCTTTGCAAATTAAGCTCATTCTAAGAAGTATGCTGAATTAAACAAGGTTCTTAGTTAGAGCATAAGCTTTGGAATTTAAACATTCTGCTAAGTGGAAGTTCCTTATGTTTAAAGTACATACTCTGTAGGCCTACAAAACACACACAAAACCTTGAAGTCCTTCAACCATTTCTCAGAAAACAGCTACGGAAAAAAAGGTATCCTAAATGCAGTTTCATCAGTTTGAAGACTGATACAATATCTTTGTGGATTCTTGGTAAAAATTCATATTCCCCTACTTCAACGGACCAAGAGAAAGCTGAACAACAAGACAGTTCCTCTGCTATCACATACATTGGAATCAGACTTTTTAAGGTATTTACTTGAAAAAGCCATATGGATAAAGTCAATGGCTGTGGAATGGGGAAGACCAAAAACAGGAAAACACAATAAAGAATGAACACAAATTTCAAATTTGACACAGAATAAAACTAAACCTTCAATCCACAAACTCATACCAAGCACAACACAAGTTGTCCTAAGAGCCTTCACAAGCAAACAGCTTAAAGAAAACCACGTAAATCTCAGCTCAAGACACTCTTACCGATCTCTTTCTCTGCGTGTGACTCAAGAGAAACATCTCTCTCTGCCTGGAAGCCTTGCCAGCAGGCTGCAAGGGCAGCAGACACAGAGGTATGGATCTCTCCAACAGTCTTCATTCCTCCACAGCACCACTGCATCTTGCAAGGGGGGAAAGAAGGACTCCTTGATCATTCTTGCAAAAAATCCTTCTCAGTATAGAAGGGCTTCCAAGGGGTATCAGTCCCCCACTGTTCAATCATAGAATACTGCTGTTCATCTACCAAAAGGTAGGAGGAAAAAAGGCATAATTCATATAACCAAGAATATCTTGCAAGCACAATGCTGGGGACCAAAGAAACATCTTCAAGATGACATATATGGTTATATAATGGTTTAGGGAGGAAAAGGCTAATCCATTAGTGCTATTAGTGACATTAGCAGCTACTCTTCTTCACTGGCCACTCCTACATGAAGAACTAGGTCAGATTCATACTGTGATATACAGCATAGAATTGCTTCTGATTTTTAAGAAAACTTTGTTTGTTTCTGCATAGAATAGAAATTCTCCTTATGAATTTAAATTATCTGATACAGATAAAAATTTGTGCTTTTCCAAAACAGTAATTTTCTTGTTTTTTTTATTCTTAATGAGACATTACTGTGAAACCAGGTTAAACCACTACTACTCAAAAAGCAAATGAAGTAACATTTTACAAGTTTTCCAAACCTAAAATGAAAAGAAGCCAGAAATACAAAAATTTCTTCCTTAGTTCTCCCAAAGTCAGCTGGGGCTGGCAAGATTTTTATTTGCTAGAAATTTTGAAAGACAGACTGAAGGGATCAAGGGAAGCCAAGCTGCTTGGTGGTTCATGAGGAAGAGGCCATCAGGCAGAAGCTGCCCTCTGAGGTGAAGGGCACTGCTCCAGTCACTGGACATTCTCTCACTTAGATATATGTGAAGGCCAGAAGTGAAGAAAAGCTTATAAATAATTAGGGCCAATATAACTCTCAGGACATTTCCAAGTACGTGA